AGGGAAACTATTTAATTATTTAATTCGTTATATTTATTTGCTTATTTATTTATTTATTTATAAATACATAAATACATACACAAAGTATACAAATAAAAAAATAATTAATTTGTTTATTATTTAATGATTTATATACGTTGTTTATGTTGTTTATTTATTTATTTATGTATGTATATATATATATACATATATATATATATATATATATATATATTTTTTTTTTTTTTTTTTTTTTTTTTTTTTTTTTTTTTTTTTTNTTTTTTTTTTTTTAAAAAAAGCTGGGGTGTATACGCACCTCCCTGCTCTTGCTGTACGCCCCGCGCGGTGTATGTACAGCCGAGGAGAAGAAGGAAAATCAAAGTTTATAACAAAAGATAAACCATATAAATCTAAACCACGAGCAGCAACATCTGTTACCAGTAATATACTCGTAAACCCTGCTCACATACACAAACCCTAAACCCTAAACCCTAAACCCTAGACATTTAATTTCGTTTTGAGGGTTTTGTATGGTTTTATGTTTTATAGAAAAAAGAAATACACGCATATGTTATACACCTACAAAAACCCTAAACCCTAAACCCTAAACCCTCGATTTCTATTAAAAAAAAAAAACACAGACTTCAATCACGCCCTCCTAAACCCTAAACCCTAAACCCTAATCCATAGGTTTAGGTTTAGGGTTTAGGAGGGGATGGCTGGTATTTATGCCGATTGATATAGAAACCTAGGGTTTAGGGTTTAGGGTTTAGGGTTTAGGGTTTAGGGTTTACGTTTTTTGAATGCAGCGAGCTGAGAATTTCTATCTTTTTGTTGCATCGCCCCGTATATAACAGCTGCGTTAACTTTTATAATTTTTTTTAAAAGAAAACACAAAAACTCTGCTTGGTGTCGAGTACTAACAAACACCAGAGCTTGTTGGCCCGCCTGCATCCACACAAAACCCTAAACCCTAAACCCTAAACCCTAAACCCTTGTATATAGTAAACAAACAAGATGAATGAAGGTTATATTAAACGCTGATTCGTTTAAGGGGTCATAGTGTAGGGTTTAGGGTTTAGCATATTAAACTGTTGAGTGTTTAGGGTTTAGGGTTTAGGGTTTAGGGTTTACTGTGTATATGGCTTGAGAGAGTAGAATTAGCGTGGGAATTTTATCAGTTTGTATATTAAGTACAAAACGCATGCATAGAGAAGTATTGAGCTGTTGTTCTGTATTTATTTTTATAAATAAAGGGTTTACTAAACAAAGAGAAGAGAAAGAAGTTATATCTTTTGGTAGTGTTGCTGATACAAGTATAGATTGTTTATTAGGGGGGAGAAAACCCCACAGCAGCAGCAGCTGCTGCAGCCACCCCCCTTCTATCAATCTATCTGCTTCATCGAGAACAGCAGCAGCAGCAGCAGAAAGCTGCAGCAGCTGCTGCTGCAGCAGCTGCAGCAAACGTCCTGGTGTTGCTACTATAATATCGGGGTTTTTAGATAGAGATTCAAACTGTATAGAGAAAGCAACCCCACCTACTAACACACATGAAATAAGAGGAAATATATTATATAATTTATTTATTATTTTATTTATTTGTTGAGCTAGTTCTCTTGTTGGGGTTAATATAATACATCTACAACCTACTATAGATGAATGCTGCTGCAGCTGCTGCAGCAGCGGCAGCATATATGCTGCTGTCTTGCCGCTGCCTGTTCTAGCCAGCAGCAAAGCATCACGCTGCTGCAGCAGCAGCGGGATTGCTGCTCTTTGTATTGGGGTTGGATATCTAAACCCTAACACTCTTTCTGCTGCTGCTGCTGCTGCTGCACCTAAACCTAGAGCAGCAAAAGGAGACGCAGACAAACCCCCCTTCTTCTTTTTTTTATTTTTATATTTACACAAACCCTCCTCCTCATTTATACTCGTAGATATCTCCATACTCAACACAAAACCCTAAACCCTAAACCCTAAACCCTAAACCCTAATATATAAGGATACACTATAAACCCTCATAAACCCTTATAACAGCAAATATAAGCAAACAAACACTCATATACTATCATCAACCATTCAACATACACGAAAAAAGAAAAAAAAATACAGTTTAGGGGCTAGGGTTTAGGGTTTAGGGTTTAGGGTTTAGGGTTTAGGGTTTAGAAGGAGCAGCGGCGGCAGGGGGCCCCTCCATGCAACCCTAGCCTTGGTGCTCGCTAGGCAGCAGAAAACAAATAAAATAAAATAAAATAAAATAAAATAAATAAATAAATAAATAAATAAAAAGAAAAAATAATTTAGTTGAATATGTATCTAGCAATCGATTGGTGTGGGGCCCCACTGACTGGGGGCCCCAGGTCGAGGGTTTAGGGTTTAGGGTTTAGGGTTTAGGGTTTAGGGTTTTATTATAATTTTTTTATATAAATTAGTAACAAAAGTGAAGTTAAANGTTTAGGGTTTAGGGTTTAGGGTTTTATTATAATTTTTTTATATAAATTAGTAACAAAAGTGAAGTTAAAAGTACTGGGGGTTTATCGATGGTGTTGCTGTAGACAGACACACAAGATCTCAGCAGCAGCAGCAGCAGCAGCAGCAGCAGCAGCAACTGCAGCAGCAACAGCAGCAACTGCAGCAGCAGCAGCAGCAGCAGCAGAAGCACTGCAACATGTGGTTGCTGGAGGGGCCTCGTGGGGCTTCGCTCTAACCGAGACAGCCAAACGAAACTATAGTTGCTGCTGTTGCTGCTGCTGCTGCTGCTGCAGCAACAGCAGCAGCAACAACCGCAGCACAAACAGCAGCAACAGCAGCAACGCTGCATTGCTGGCTGCTGCTGCTGCTGCTGCTTCTGAAGCAGCAGCAGCAGCAGCAGCTAGAAATGCAGAGCTGCTGCTTCCGTTAACCGCCAGTCTCTATGGCGCCGCCGCTGCAGCAGCAGCAGCAGCAGCAGCAGCAGCAGCAGCAGCAGCAGCAACTGCAGCAACAGCAGCAGCAGCAACTGCAGCTGCAGCAGAAACATTCTGAGCAGCAGCAGCAATACCTGCGCGCTGAGACCGGCATCCCGCGTCCCCTCTTCTGTTTGCTTATTGTTTTGCTGCTGCTGCTGCTGCAGCAGCACCTGCAGCAGCAGCAGCAGCAACGACAGCAACAGCAGCAGCAGCAGCAGACAGTGGGGGCTTGCTGCAGCAGCTTTGCTGCTGCAGCAGTCCTTGAGCCCGCGTTGATTAGCTGCGGCCCCCGAGCTGCTGCTGCATATTCTCTACAGCCTGCAGCAGCAGCAACAGCAGCAGCAGCAGCAGCAGCAGCAGCAGGCCCAGCAGCAGCAGCAGCAACACCTTCTTTCTTGTTGCCTCGTTTATTTCCCTTTGTGTTTCTGCGTTGTTATAAAAACAAATCCAAACAAAAACAAAAAACAATTATAAACAAACGCTCAGCAGCTGCTGCAGCTGCTGCAGCTGCTGCAGCGCAGCAGCAGACACTCACAGCAGCA